CCCATCCAAGGTTTTGAGATGCTATTCAGCATAGTGAATCGTAACAAATGTGAAATTTCAAGTTATTCAACGATTGAAGATTTTGGTTTCATTGTCAGTAAGGACGGATGTTTTCTTCTCAGCGGCAGATGGTTTCCGGTTCCAAATACCGAACGAATTGAGGCAACATAAGGTTGTTTACGCTGAATTGAGATTTTGAAGATAAGCCAGCTAAGAGATTGAACCTTTTTCGCAGAATTGATAGGCGAATTGGCAGATTATAAAGTAATGCCATAACAGTGCAAATATACAAAAATGTAACCGTCACTAATAAATCTCTCCAGATATGTGAATAGCGTGGAAAGGTGAAAGTATTGCCACAAATATGCTTTGTGAAAATGATGCAGAGCCAAAATGCAATTCATCATGTAGGAAATGGCATCTGTGAAATGGACCAAATATTGTAGTCTTGGATTCGCCCTACTTCGTCCAAGTGACAGTCACTTGTAAGTCTGAAGTTGTGTGATGAAAAGGTCAGTCCGCTGTAGGCGGAAACCTTTCGACTCATGCGTATTTTTTCATTACGCTCATTAATACTACTATAGACTTGGTGACTAGGCGTCTAAGGGATAATAAAATTTTGGGAAAGCATGACTATGTGAAATTCAATGGAAACGTCAGCTTCACTCATACCATTGTGGGAAAATTGTTCTTCTATCAGTCCTTCATCACCTTAAACGAAATTGAGTGAATATATCTCATATTACTGATTTACTGATAGTCACGAAAACAATACTTAATTCGAAAGATAATGAATAGCGACACCTCAAGCGTGGATTGGATGATTCAGTCTACGGAGTTGCCTTCTAAGTTTGTAAACTCAATGCGATCGTCGATGGTATCATAAAGCCTGAACAAACTCGAGTTTGTATCTAACATGTGCTGGTAGTTTCACAGCCTCGGCTCATGTTAAGATGTTAAAGCGACTACTACAGTCGATTATCGTGAAACTGGTCTGAGCATATAACGACCTAGGGCCGAGAAAAGCCAGACAGGATCATATTGGTGTTGCCGAGGGTACTTCTGAATGATCCCGTCAAGTAGCTTGGATGGGTCCAGATTCTACTCGTCAACAACGTAGATCACTCAGAACTCCCGTCCCGAAATGAGGAGTGGGTTTCCGGCCCAAATACTTCGTGCTGGAGATTTTAATGGAACAGAGGCTGGTAGAGCAACTTCAAGACATGACAACTCTGGCTTGTGCAAAAGCCCGACGATCAGGAGGGCGCTGTTGTCAAGACAGTCTGAAACAGGTCGACTTAGGCATAGAAAGTGACCACGAGACCAAAATAATGCGGCCTGATTAGCTCAACTTGGTCTGGAGAATAGGGAGACCTTCAACCTTTGTAACATGTCTACTCTCGTAGACAATGTGGTCTACGACGCTGGCAAAATGTCTGAGAATGTACCAATGCTTGAAATTACCATGACTACTGGGACAGAGGAGGAGGCACAGCTAGACAAGGTCTCCCTGTCGTCTATAGGAAATCACGAAAACCAGCATAAGAAGTGAAGACGTATGATGCGACTTGAGGGAGAAACGTTGTCGATCAACAAAGTCGAATCATTGTCGTGGCAGTTTGTTTAGGCGCCATCGCGACAAGCCAGAATATCTTCGCCATAATGACCCCGCGATTGTCCAGGAGTCAAGGCCTCTGATGACCAGATGGCAGGGGACAAGTTACTTGTTATGGGGGAGACAAGCGATAATGCCGGGGCCCCTATTGATGCATATCGGCAAGACGAATTCTATGGATATCAATCGGGGCGGAACCACCAGCCCAAAGTTTGCCTCTTCTTGTACCCATTCTTCGTTGTCTAGGCTCGACGTCGTGTATACATGCACGTGATGTGATCCACATGAACAAGGAGGACCATTTAGGGAGCTGGATGTCCGTTTTGCATGTCTTTAGCCATGCGTGTAGATAACATGGTACAATCGCTCTTCCATTTATGTGTGTGTGTGTGTGTGTGAATGTGTATAAAGTTGAAACAGAGGGACTCGGATAAGAATGAGGAGTCTAGGCCCTACAGGGAAGGACTGCGGCACTTGTCTCTATCATCAAAGTGCATTAAGGTAGGCATGCCTACACATATCCAGCTATCCGCTGCTTAAGCATATAACTCGATATCGGCTCTGCCCTTTCCTGCTTTCTATCTGGTCTCATTCTCTTCATTTTATTCTGCTCCTCTATTCTTTCTCTTTCTTCTCTCTACTAGCCCTTTCAACCACCTTGGCCATTTGCAGTCCCGGCTGGGTCCGTTTCCGTCCGCCTCAAACCCGCTGTCTTGGCAGTTTTGACAACTGGCTATTAATCATACCTGGGTACGGGTATGCGCGCTACGACCGTATCATTTCAGCCAAACCTCATCCTGTCTCCACCCCCGGCTCGTCGACCCAACAACTCCAACCCCAACCCCAACCCCAGCGCCGACACGACCCCACACCCTGTCTACACACACTGCAATTCATATATAAGACAGCATGGATGTGTGTGTATATATATATATATATATGTGTGTGTGTGTGTATGTGTAAATGTGACAGGAAGAACGCTTGTGAGGCTGTGGAGACGTGGGCAGGCGTGCCAGAGTTGATGAATCGTGCACAATTGCCCCGTCGGAGGCCGTGGTCCGAGAACGACCAACCGACCGACCGACCAACCGACCCTTCAAGTCACCGAGGCACAGACGTGCACACTCTGGGCATGACTTTTCTGGGGGTCAATGACCCATGCAAAGTTACAGGCGCACAAGGGCGACGGTGGACGCCGGTCGAAGGGCCGCGGGTCGATTAGCCGTGGTGTATGATGACACATGACAGGACTCGGTCGGCAGGATCGAGTGGAACCCAGGCCCAAGCGACAGTGAAGAGGGTTGAATGTGCATCTCGGCAATTAGAAGGAGGGTAGACTTGTCTCCTACCCGTCGTCTACGCCGACAAACACGCCGTTGCTCTGCTTCCAGACCAGTCGGGCAGTCTTCCCGCCAATCGGCCAAACTCGGCTGCCCCTTGTCGGGGATGCAGTTGAGGCTGACTATGCAAATACGAGCTCAGTCCACTCGTCACAGACCATATGGACTGCGAACCTTGTCTTGACTACGCCAAGTGGTTCGTTCCATTTCGCAGCATCGCGGCACACGGACACAGCAACAGGGAGGCCGAGAAACAGACATCTGATGTCTACTGCAAAGCAAAAGTCGGGCTACATCGCCACTTCGCTAATTCGAAAGTGTGAAGACTAAGATTGTGTGTAGTCGCGGTCTCCTTTCCTGTGGAATGCATCTTGTCCGACCTCCTCTGCCATAGCATCCATCATGATTTCCAGCGTCGGAATGTACCAAGTTCATGGTCCGAGGCTGGAAATGATCATGGACTAACTATGACAGAGCATTCTGGTCCCTCTGACAACGCGAGTGAATTGCGAAGGTCGGACTGCTTCTAAACTTCGCTACGTATTGGTCCGAAATGGCGGGCGGAAGGGGTCCGTGCACCGAAAGAGGATTGTGTTCATGGTCCTGCGACCCTGAGGGATCGGTTCCGAGCTTACGTTCGTCATGTAAGGGACAACGCTAAAGTCAGGAAGCAATTTATTAGCCAAAGACACTAAACCAAGAAACTATTTAAACTAGCCACCTTAATTGGTTTAAAGCTTTAGGTGCACTTTTGTACATCACCAGTCACAAGTCCGGTGAGGCCTATATATGAATTTATTGAATATGAGAGAAAAGTTATGCTAGCATGAATTTTCTCTAAAAGACAAAACACCGAATGAATAAATGTCGAAAGTAGGAATTGAGCGGTGACGAACATAGTATGAAATCATGCTTTAACAGAAAATTGGCAACAATCAACAGATCCGAAATAAAAACCAGAATCAGCCTAGTTGGTTAAGCTAAAGTAATTGAATATTACCACATGCAATTATCAAGCCAGCCTGGATGAGCAAAGATTTACATAAAATTCACTAGTGTGATAGATCTTTGTGAAATAGCAATTTCACATTCGAGCCATGACACCAATCATCGGTTTCTAGCGAAACAGATTTAAGAATCACTTACCGATGACCGACATAAAAGCCGAAAAATGCAAG